TCAGCGCTGGCGTCGCCGTGATCTGTGAACCACGTGAAGAAGGTTCGCGGGAACTCCAGCTGACGCTTCCGCGACGTCTTCGAGTCCGACTCGTTCTTGTTGTACGCGTTCTGCTGGTCCTGCAGTCGCTTCGACAGGTCGGAGCCCTCTCGCCATTTGATTTGCGTCGACTTCGACGCCGGATCTCCTATTAGATCCACAATCGGCACACAATTAGCACAAACTCTACCACAGCTGGCAGTTCGTGAGACATACCTCCGGCCCCTAAATGGAATTCCTTCTCCAAGAGATCGTTTTCGAAGTACGGGTTCTCATCGAAATAGAATTTGATTCTATAGCCACTCTTGATGTCCTCGAACTCCTCCACTTCCAACTTCGACAGGAAGTGCAGACACTCCTCCTCGTCCTCATCGAGAATAGCGGAGATTTGCGGGTGATTTACAAACTATTGGGTCAATGACAAGCAATTAGTACATCACGTGTTTGGCTCTATCGCACAGTCATTGCCGGCGTTTTTCATAGCATTCAACACAAAAAGTTTACACTAATTTCTACACTAAATGTTACCATTAATTAACACTCAACTCGTGTGTCAGTACTTAAAAAAGTGCTTATTGTATGTAAATTGAGTCAATAAATGCTATTTTAAACATAAAACGATTAAAACTCGTTTACATTTAATAAATGATAGGAAATAATGGCAAACATTTTGTGTAGAGAAAGAGTACTACTGAGAGACTACAAGCAAACCATTTACTGGGAAAGCCTTTTAAAATAAATAATCAATCGCTATACTAATTGCCAATTAACACCATTGACTTCACTCTAAAATCATTACTAAACTAATAAATTAAAAAAACAAATGAATCACAAAAAAAGTACAATAAATAAAGCCATTGGACACGAGTTACCCATAAACGAGATAAAGTGTAACAAAGGCTACGAATAGAGAGAAAGCGGTTTGTATTGAAAACTACTGCCAATGGACTCAATACACTACAAGACACCACAAGACATAGATATGACGAGACAATGGGCGCCATCGATGGCAATACTCACAGCGGTGACCCAGAAGTTGGGAATCTTGGCGATCAACTCGTTGCGCTTCTCGAAGAACGGTTTGCGGAGTTTATTGTACTTCTGCTCGACTTTGAGGATCTCTTCGGAGGCCTTCTCGTTGAGCGAATCGATCTCATTCTGCGTGGCGTCGATCTCCTCCAACGTCTTCTGGGTCTCGGGATCGTAGTCACGGGACTCGTCCTCCAGAGAGTCGGCACCGCCGCTGGAGTCCAATCGGTTGGCGGCGTTGTTGTTGTTGTTCGTCGTCTTCACCTCTCCGTTGTCCACCTCATCGCCGGTCTTCAACTTCTTCGACGGCGTGGGCCCGGAATTGGTCGTCGCTGTCGATGACATGTCTGCCGATCAATGTCTGGTAGAGACAATCATACCATTAGTGGCGCGCATAGCATGGCATGTATGCGATTGTCACCAATACTCACATCAAATGTCTTGTATGCTCGCAAAGAGTGCAAACTATAGCCACAATGGGTGCGCGTCTGTCCGCTGGTGACAAACAGGTGCCTCTCGTGAGCGGTTGTGGACACGATGTGGTGATAATATCACTAAAATCGGTGGTTTGATTGCAAAGCACGCCGGCTATGGATACACAGAGAGAGTGCTGTAGA